GCTATATGGCCATGTTCTAAAGGCATTCTTCAGGCGAAACGTCAGGAGAGAATGCCTTTAGAACATGGCCATATAGCCCAAAAAAACCTGCAACAACCCAGTGATCTTGTTTGCTGTGTACTAATCTTGTTGTGTATAAAATAATAATAATAATAATAATAATAATAATAATAATAATAATAATAATATTTATTCCTTTGGTGTAGTTTTCAGCTCATATCACTCTAGTCCAGGGGTCCTCAAACTAAGTCCCGAGGGCCAGATACGGCCCTCCAAGGTCATTTAACCGGCCCTTGCTTAGGGTCAATCTAAGTCTGAAATGACTTGAAAGCGTACAACAACAACAACAATCCTATCTCATCGGCCAAAAGCAGGCCCACAATTCTCACTGAAATACTATTAAGTTTATATTTTTTTAAATTGTTCTTCATTTTAATTATTGTATTGTTTTTAAGTGTTTTTGCACCACAAGTAAAATATGTGCAGTGTGCATAGGAATTCATTCACTTTTTTTTTTCAAATTATAATCCGGCCCTCCAACAGTTTGAGGGACTGTGACCTGGCCCTCTGCTTATAAAGTTTGAGGACCCCTGCTCTAGTCAATGCTTCTAGCACCATTAAGTGGCCCTTTCCACAGAGCAGTATAAAATCCAAATTGAACTGGATTATATGGCAGATAATCCAGTTCAAGGAGCCCCCGGTGGCGCAGTGGGTTAAAGCACTGAGCTGCTGAGATTGTTGATCGAAAGGTCGCAGGTTCAATTCCGGGGAGCGGCATGAGCTTCCGCTGTCAGCCCTAGCTTCTGCCAACCTAGCAATTCGAAAACATGCAAATGTGAGTAGATCAATAGGTACCGCCCCGGCGGGAAGGTAATGGCGCTCCATGCAGTCATGCCGGCCACATGATCTTGGAGGTGTCTACGGAGAACGCTGGCTCTTCGGCTTAGAAATGGAGATGAGCACCACACCCCAGAGTCAGACATGACTGGACTTAATGTCAGGGGACTACTTTTACCTTTTTTTTTAATCCAGTTCAAAGCAGATATTGTGGATTATCTGCCTTAATATTCTGGGTTATATTGCTGTGTGTAAGGGCTCTGCATAAACAATCACAATATATTATCAAAGCTTTTTCAGCCTCCAAGAAAACCAGAGCTGCTTGTTGTTGTTATTATTTATTTATTTATGTTCTAATTTATCTCTCCATGCGGACACTCAAAGCAGCTCTCATTAAAAAACATTAAAACTTAAAACTGTATATCATTATATACGGGAAGTCTGATCTGGCCACGCTCTTGCCACATCCCGAATAGACTACTGCAACGCGCTCTACGTGGGGTTGCCCTTGAAGACTGTTCGGAAACTTCAACTAGTCCAGCGAGTGGCAGCCAGACTGCTCACCGGAGCGACATACAGGGAGCATACCACCCCCCTGCTGTGCCAGCTCCACTGGCTGCCGATTCAGTTCCGAGCACAATTCAAGGTGCTGGTTTTGACCTACAAAACCCTGTACGGTTCCGGTCCAGTGTATCTGTCCGAACGTATCTCCCTCTACGTCCCACCCCGGACTCTGAGATCATCTGGGGAGGCCCTGCTCTCGACCCCACCACTCTCACAAGTGAGGCTGGTGGGGACGAGGAGCAGGGCTTTCTCAGTGGTGGCTCCTCACCTGTGGAACTCACTCCCGGGGGAAATCAGGGCATCACCATCCCTCCTCGCTTTCAGGAGGAGGGTGAAGACGTGGTTATGGGACCAGGCCTTTGGGCACTCTGGCAATTAAATCAGACATCAGGCGAGTAAAACCAGCAGGATTGATGAAGTGGAACATAAAACTAGATCTATGAGTTAGTGAACGCTGACCAGAAATTGGGTTTGTATTGGTTTTTATTGATTTTATTGATTTTATTGGTATAATGCATGAATTGTTGTTAACTGTGAATTGATGTAATTTTGTGTATGATTGTTTTATGATGCAGGCATCAAATTGTGCCTTTGTTTTGTAAGCCGCCCTGAGTCCCCTTCAGGGTGAGAAGGGTGGGGTAAAATAAAAAATAAATAAATATTATATATCATTATATATTATCAGCAGTATTAGATTAAATATATTGGAATTATTAAATTACAATATTATTTATTACTATATTGTATTATTATTATTATATGGTATTACATTATATTATCATTATACGTAGATACAATATATTATATCATTAGCATAGCACTATGTAAGTATTATATACTATCACATTGCACTATACTACTATACTGCAATATTTTTAGCAATATTAGATATAATATATAATATACAACTACTACTGGAGAAGAAGCCCTATAAGGAGCGGCTTAAGGAGCTGGGCATGTTTAGCCTGAAGAAGAGAAGGCTGAGAGGAGATATGATAGCCATGTATAAATATGTGAGAGGAAGCCACAGGGAGGAGGGAGCAAGCTTGTTTTCTGCTTCCCTGGAGACTAGGACGCAAAACAATGGCTTCAAACTACAAGAGAGGAGATTCCATCTGAACATGAGGAAGAACTTCCTGACTGTGAGAGCCGTTCAGCAGTGGAACTCTCTGCCCCGGAGTGTGGTGGAGGCTCCTTCTTTGGAAGCTTTTAAACAGAGGCTGGATGGCCATCTGTCAGGGGTGATTTGAATGCAATATTCCTGCTTCTTGGCAGTGGGGTTGGACTGGATGGCCCATGAGGTCTCTTCCAACTCTATGATTCTATGATTCTACGACTTGCACAACCACCATATCAGACTGCACAGAGAAGACATTGAAATGCTGAACTTGTTGACCGAAAGATTGCAGGTTCGAATTCGGGAAGCGGCATGAGCTCCTGCTGTCAGCACCAGCTTCTGCCAACCTAGCAGTTCGAAAACATGCAAATGTGAGTAGATCAATAGGTTCCGCTTCGGCGGGAAGGTAATAATAATAATAAGAATAAGAATAAGAATAATAAGAATACTTTATTTATACCCTGCTCCATCTCCCCCAGGGGGACTTGGTGCGGCTTACATGAGGCCATGCCCATCGATACAATACAAGCAATATAACACATATTGGTTTCATCCTTCCTTCTCTTTCCTTCCTTCCCTCCCCCCTTTTCTACTTCTTCCTTTGTCTCCTTTCTTCCTTCTGTGTTCTCAGCACGAGGGGGGGGGGGACAGGGGAGGTGTGTTTTTGAATTTAAAGGTGTTTTTGCAACTGTCACCTGGAATGGTGACATCAATAATCCAGACTTTTTTCTTTTCCACGATCGTGATGTCTGGTGTATTATTATTATTATTATTATTATTATTATTATTATTATTGAATAATAATAATAATAATAATAATTATTATTATTATTATTATTATTATTATGATGTGGATTTTATATGGCCATGTAGAAGAGGGCCTCAAATATATATAAAAAAATCTGGCAACCAGTATTAAAAAACTCTAAAATTACAACAGCAAAACAGCAGAGAGGAAACAACCAGGCACATCTTAACACCTCTCAACAAAACATTTTCCCAGGCTCAGCCAGGCCTTCAAATGCTAATGAAGGTGGTCAGTTGAAACATTCACACCTAGCTCCAGCAGAGAAGAGCTCTTTGCCCCACTCCAGCCATTCCACAGATATATAAACCCATTGTCCTAATTCCAACAGACCTCACTACCTCTGAGGATGCTTGCCATAGATGCAGGCGAAACGTCAGGAGAAATGCCTCTAGAACAGAGGTCGGGAACCTTTGGCCCTCCAGCTGTGGTGGACTTCAACTCCCAGAAATCCCAGTCAGTTTACCAGCTGTTAGGATTTCTGGGAGATGAAGGCCAAAACATCTGGGGACCCACAGGTCGAGAACCACTGCTCTAGAACATGGCCCTATAGCCCGAAAACCCCCACGAGAACCTAGTGATTCCAGCCATGAAAGCTTTCGACAATACATTATTATGATTATGATTATGATTATTATTATTTGGATTTTATATGGCCGTGTAGAAGAGGGCCTCAAATATATATAAAAATACCCAAAATAGACCTCAAAACCCTGGGTCAACTTTTAGGATCCTAGAGTTGGAATTGACCCAGATGACACAATCACCGTCGCATAACTTTGCTGTGTTTTACTCCTCTGCTTCTTCATCTATGTCTTCATCTAAGGAGTAAACTGGCAACGCTCTCCATCTGGAAGGCATCCTAAGAAAGGGGATGCACGTTCCTAAAGGGAATGAGTGGGTGGATAGTCATCTGAAGCCAGCAAAGTTTCACCAGGTTCTTCCGTCTAACTAAGGCTCTCTCTCAACTAATGCAAGAACACAGATGAATTGCAAGGCCCTTTAACCCAGTGAGTAATTGGCAGCTATAGCTTTCCCCGGAGGCTTACATTAAGGTCGGCTTATGTTCTCATTGGTACGGCACCATTAACGGAACACCCACCCCAACATCTCCCCTGACGACTCCTCCGAAATGATCTGGGATTATCCAATATGATACCTGCCCTCCAAGGAGTCGGTCCTTGGGTGAGATGGAGCGGGTGGGTGTTCCGCTGATGCCGCTTTGCCGTTGAGAACAAACTTCCAGGGACTCGGTAGGGTTGTGTAAATGAGTACAAGGAGGAGGAAGCCAAGGGACGCAAACACTCACCTTTCTCAAGAGGCAGCAGATGCGCTCAATGTTTTTCAACCTCTCTCTCTGTGCGGGAAACATAAGAGGAAAGAAACGGGGTCAGACTCGAGGAAAGAGGCACGATGGAAGGAGAGGAAAGAGGCAAGGGATGGGTGTTGAATCAACCAGAGGGTATTGAATCTGCCTAATGTACACAGTGGGTAGAAAAGGGAGATGAGGCACAAGGAACGCACAGGTAGACCTTCTTCTCTTGCATGCAGTTCAATGTATAGACCAGGTTTGGGCAAACGTTGGCCTTCCAGGTGTTTTGGACTTCAACTCCCACAATTCCTAACAGCCTCGGGCCCTTTCCTTTTCCCCCTCAGTCGCTTAAGCGGCTGAGGGGGAAAAGGAAGGGGCCCGAGGCTGTTAGGAATTGTGAGAGTTGAAGTTCAAAACATCTGGAGGGCCAAAGTTTGCCCATGCCTGTTGTAAACAATCCATCTTAGATAAGGTTGCATTCTTCACTTCACTTCACTTTATTTCTTAATTAGTCGCTCTCCACCAAGGTACTCCGAGCAACTTACAGTCTAAAATAGCATTTACACAATATAAAAACATTCAACATAAAAACATTCAACAGTGACTATTTGGCAAATTAGATCTGATTACTTAAATGCACAACCAAGCAGGCAAGTCTTGAGTGCCTTTACAAAAGTTCGCAATTCCGACATTGCTCTAATATATGGAGGCCATGAGTTCCACAGAATTGGAGCATAGATTGAAAAAGCTCTACGCCTTGTAGCTTCCAGGTGTCCCTCCCTAGGGATGTAGAAGAGATTTTCCTGGGTGGATCGAGGTGACCACTGATGGAGAAAAGGAATGAGGCGGTCCCTAAGATATAAAGGTCCTTGGCCATTTTGAGCTCTAAATGTCAGGATCAGTATCTTGTAAGAGATCCGATGTTCTATTGGTAGCCAATGCAGTTGTTGCAGAATCGGTGTGATATGGGATCTTATAGATGATCCCGCTAGCAGCCTGGCCGCTGCATTTTGGACCATCCAAATCTTCTGGGTTGTTGACTTCGGAAGGCCGGCATATAAGGCGTTGCAATAGTCCAACCTAGTGGTGACTATTGCATGGATTACCGTTGCCAATGCTTCTATCAGAAGGTAGGATGCCAATTTCCTTGCCTGGCGAAGATGAAAAAAGGCCTGCTTCCTTATGGCAGTGATCTGGGCCTCCATCATCAGCGATGAGTCCAACACAACCCCAAGGCTTTTAACAGTGGTAGACGGAACCAGAGCTTCCCCATCGAAATCAGGCAGAGACTGGATTAATTCTGGCGGCTGGCCGGGCCAGAGTATCTCAGTTTTTGCAGGATTCACTTTGAGTCTGCTCGCTCGCAGCCAACTCATCACTGCTTCCAAACACAGCCTAAAGTTCTCAGGAATCGCAGTTGTCCCAGGTTCGAGACGCAAGAGTAGCTGGGTATCATCTGCATACTGGTAGCACTCTATGCCAAAGCTCCGCACCAGTCCAGCAAGTGGTCGGACGTAGATGTTAAATAACAGGGGCGAGAGGATAGCACCCTGGGAACTCCACAACAAAGGCAGGAGCTCTCAGAGCTTTGGCCTCACCACTCCACCCTCTGTCTCCGGTCCCGGAGAAATGAATGTTTGAGGGCTAAACCTCGTACACCAGACAGAGCCAATCGATGAATCAGCAAGTCATGGTCCACGGTGTCAAATGCAGCTGTGATGTCCAAGAGTACCAATAGCGCTGATCCGCCTCGGTCTAACTAACGACGAATTTCATCAGTAATAGCTACCAAGACAGTCTCTGTCCCATGACCTGAACAAAAGCCTGATTGAAAGGGGGCCAAACCTGCAGTCTCATCTAAGAATTGATGTAGCTGCCCCACCACTGTCCGTTCAATCACCTTGCCCAAAAATGGAAGGTTTGAAACAGGGCGATAGTTACTAGGTATGGCGGCGTCTAGGCTTGGTTTTTTCAGGAGAGGGTGGACCACTGCTTCTTTAAGGCGATCTGGAAAAATTCCTTGCTCCAAGGAGCTGTTGATGATGCTCCTTAAGGGATCTCGCAGTCCCTCCCAGCATTCCCCCTGAACTAAACAAATGTATAACTTGGGAGCATTCCTAGATCAGGGCTAACAAACCCATTTTCATCGAGGGCCACATCTGCCTTCAAGGGGCCACTGAATCCATGGAAGGAGAATCCATGGGTACAGAGAGCTAACAATAACTTTTTTTTCATATTTATTTATTTATTTATTTATTTTGTATAAAAACCCTGCGTCACAAGTACGTTTGGCGGGGACGAGAGACAGGGCCTTCTCAGTGGTGGCCCCTCGGCTGTGGAACGCCCTTCCTACAGATATTAGATCGCCCCCCCTCCCTGTTGACATTTCGGAGGAAAGCGAAGACCTGGTTGTTTGAGCAGGCATTTGAATAGGCAGTGTAACAAACAGGAATATGGAATTTTAACTATGAGATGCTAATGAGATGTTTACTGATTTATATTGACTGTTTATTATGCAACTTTTTAAAATTGTTTTTAACTGTTTTATGATGTTTTTGAGCATTTGCTCTGAGTCGTCCTAGGGCTGAGAAGAGCAGTATACAAATATAGTAAATAAATATAGGTGTAGGTTTAAGACATCCTGTGATTATTCTGCATGTTTCATTCAATGCCAGCTATCTTGGAGAGTTTATCAACAGGTGTAGGTTTAAGACATCCTGTGATTATTCTGCATGTTTCATTCAATGCCAGCTATCTTGAAGAGTTTATCAACAGGTGTAGGTTTAAGACATCCTGTGATTATTCTGCATGTTTCGTTCAATAACAGTCTATCAAATGGTGTAGGTTTAAGACACCTTGTGATTATTCTGCATGTTTCATTCAATAAGTTTATCAACAGGTGTAGGTTTAAGACATCCTGTGATTATTCTGCATGTTTCATTCAATGCCAGCTATCTTGGAGAATTTATCAACAGGTGTAAGTTTAAGACATCATGTGATTATTCTGCATGTTTCATTCAATAACAGTCTATCAAAAGGTGTAGGTTTAAGACATCCTGTGATTATTCTGCATGTTTCATTCAATAATAGTCTACCAACAAGTGTAGGTTTAAGACATCCTGTGATTATTCTGCATGTTTCATTCAATAACAGTCTATCAAAAGGTGTAGGTTTAAGGCATCCTGTGATTATTTTGCATGTTTCATTCAATAACAGTCTATCAAATGGTGTAGGTTTAAGACATCCTGTGATTTTTCTGCATGTTTCATTCAATAACAGTCTATCAAAAGGTGTAGGTTTAAGACATCCTGTGATTATTCTGCATGTTTCATTCAATGCTATGTTCACCTGCTTCGCATGGGCAGACCTATGCCAAACAGGGCAGGCATACTCAGCAGTTGAGTAAGACAAAGCCAGGGCTGATGTTCTTACTAATTTTGGGTCTGCACCCCATGTGCTGCCAGTAAGTTTCCACAGGATGTTATTGCGTGCAGCTACTTTGTGCTTGGTGTTCAAGCAGTGTTTCCTATATGCTAATGTTCGATCTAAGGTGAATTTGCATATGCAATGACTGCACTAAGACTAAAAATATCCACTAATTTCAAGACCACTGAGAAGTTATTGCATGAATTACAATGAAGTTTTTACTGGGGCCATAGTGGTCAGTGCTTTCTATTTTTTTACCTAATTCTCACCCCGAAGGGGACTCAGAGCGGCTTACAAGATATATATTACATACAATATATTGTATTATTAGCATAGTACAATATCAGTATTACATATTACTATATTGCACTGTACCATTATATTGTGATATTATTAGTAATATTATATGTAATATACATATATAAATATTTTATTTGCATAGCACAATATCAGCATTAAACATTATGATACCGCTATATCATAATATTATTAGTAATATTAAATGTAATATAAATTTATAATTATAATATCATACAATTATAATATTGCATAACATTATAATATTATAATATTTATAATATTTATATTTATTTAAATTTTCAAATAAGCCGGGCAACGCCAGGTACCCAAGATCGTAACTGAATACTCATCGATCCTTGAGTTGGAAGAGAGTTCAAGGGCCATCCAGTCCAACCCCCTTCTGCCATCAAAACCCTCCCGACAGATTGCCATCAAGCCTGTTCTTAAGGAGACTTCCAGATTCTCAGGCACCCTATTCTGCTGCTAAACAGCTCTGGTCATCACAACGTTGTTCTTAATGTTTAGGTGGAATCTTTTTGTCCTGCCATTTGAATCTGTTGCTCCATTGTGCACCGGGATTGTGGCGCAGCTGGCTGAGTGTCAGCTGCATTAAGATCACTCTGACCAAAAGGTCATGAGTTCGAAGCCAGCCCAGGTTGCAATGCTCTTTGATTGTAGGTGAACTATAAATCCCAGCAACTACAACTCCCAAATGACAAAATCATAATTTTTTGAGTGACGGTCACTCCTTGTGTTGTGAGACGTTTTGTTGCCAAGTTTGCTGTGATTTCGTTCACTGGTTCTTTTGTTTTTAAGGTACTCGTTATGCACAGAACATTTTTTATATATAGATTATTATTATTATTATTTGACAACACGGCATATTCTTTGGACGAACAACTCTTATCATCAGGAAGTCTTCCTAACGTTTAGGTGGAACCTCTTTCCCCGCCATTTGAATCTGCCTTGGAGACTAACTAGAACTCGGATCCTATGAATCCATTGTAAAAATTATAATATAATTTAATATAATACATTATAGGAATTGGAGCCACGGGTTCATATCATAGGGATTGTGGCGCAGCTGGCTGTCAGCTGCATTAAGATCACTCTGACCAAAAGGTCATGAGAGCGAAGCCAGCCCGGGTTGGAGTGGGTTTCCAACCAATTGTGTGTAGCCTGTTGTCGACCTTTGCAACCCGAAAGATAGTTGCATCTGTCAAGTAGGAAAATTAGGTACCACCTTAAAAAGTGTGGGGAGGCTAAATTAACTGATTTATGAGGCCATAAAGAAGACTCCAGCAAAAGCATTCCATCGG